TGTCAGAAAGACCTGGTGCTCGAACAAAGCAGGTTCAAAACTTTGTCTAATGAAAATAATCTCCTTCGGGCTCTAAACTCTGACCTTTTTAATAAACTGGAAAGAATGAGCAAAATGGTGGATGATTATGATGAACAGATAAAACAGATACAGATGCAGCTAGATGAATATCAAAAGGGAAGTGAAGAATTACTGGGAAAAGACCCAAGTGATTCTTCTCAATTCCCTGATATTCACACACCAGACCAGGTTTTCATAAAACAGTCTCTAAGAAAAGAGGTGAGTAATTATGAGAAAACACCTGTAGGTTCTTGGCAATCTTGGGCAGAACAGTTTGAAAAGACTGTCCTGGCCAAGCTTGACAGAAGGAATCAGATTCAAGGTGATAGGAATGAAAACAGACATGGTTCTGTACACTGGCAGAACTCTGATGCAGATCAGAGTTGTGACAGTGAACAAGAAGCTCAGAGTGATGGGAGTGAAAGTGATTGCACTGTCCACTCTGAAGGCCATGTAACTGATATGCCATCTGCACTGTTGTACGGGTCTAATTCCTCTTCAGCAGACAGATCGCATAGACGTTTACCCAAACACAGAAACAGAGGTCGTAAATCAACGATGCCTGTTTATGAAACACCAAAAGGTCATCAAATTCCTTAGAGAGACTGTCCCACAATTTTCTAGAGGTTCAGGAAGCATATCTGAACATCTGGAAAATTATGATAGAGCAATGAATTCATTGGGCATGTATGATGACATTCATAAGAAATGGTTCATTACATGGACCTTTGATTCAATGTGTCGTGTTTATCTAGAAAGTCTTCAAGCTATACAGTTAATGTCCTGGTCCAAGATGAAATATGAAATAATCATGGAATATAGTAAGTATAAAACCATTGCTTCTGCAAAGAAGGCGCTTTATAACTTAAAGTGCCGTCCAGATCAAAGCCCAAGAGAATTTTTAATAATTCTTAAAAATGCATACTCCGTGGCCCAAAGAAAACCCAGGTATGAAAGCACAGACTTCAAAGATCTGTATTTTCATGCAATGCCAGTAAACATACAAATGAATCTCGCAAGAGATTACGATTGTAAGTTGCCATTAGAATGGCTAGTCAGTCAGTGTATGAAGTTGTACACTATACACCATGCACATGACGAAAATCAGCCAAAGGTTAAGAAACCTGGTGATAAAATGGTGTCAGAGACTAAAATTCAGTTGGGTTTAGAAACCCAACAGAAAAAGAGGACCTATTCTGAGGTTTTGAAATCTCCAAAACCTCAGAAACAGGAAAACGCAGGAAGCAATTCTGCAAATTCCTCTAATAACTCTGATAAATCCAATGCCAATGGAAATAAACGCCCCTGGGTTAATAAGAACCAAGGCAATTCCCAATGGAGAAGGAATCCTCAGGGAAATAGGAGATATGGAAACAGAAACAACCAATCTGCTTCCAATAACTCCCAACAGTCTCAGCCATCCCAGCCAAGTTCTAATGGGCAAAGACAAAACGGCAATGGGGGAAATAATTTGCGTCGTCAGGTTGGTCAATTGACTGACCAGATGGGCAAATTAATGGAGGGAATGACAAAGATTAACGAAGTCTTTGCCAGAAATCCTTTTTTAGGGATAGCTCCAATTGCAGAACTACCTGTGCAACCGCAGCAACAACAACAGGCGCCGCAGCAGTAATAGCCACTGTGACTAAACAGGCTAGGTTATCAGTAGATGTAATACCTAACCCTGTTTCCTTTCCAGGTACTCATAGTCAAACAAACAATAGTTGTGTTAGAAAACCTATTGCCTATACCGTCACTTCACTTCCGGGTGAAGGAGGCGCAACGTGTTCCTCTGTTTTTTCATTTCAGCCAAAGGCTAAAGTAGCCCCAGCAGTCACTAGTTTCCAGGATCCAGACCTGAAAGGGTTAACTGATGAGATGCCGACCACTAGTTCCCGCTTGACAGTTCAAGATATTCCTAATAAGGATGGGCCTGTGGGTAAGACTGAGCATTCCTCAGTACAGGTAGAAACTACTGCTGTGACCGGTAACGTATGGAAAACAAGTAATATGTTGACACATTCTAAATTCTTATGTGAATTAGAAGAACATGAAGGAAGGTACTACATGTCTGTAGAAATACAGGATTCGCTACCCCAGCCTTTTAAAGGGTTAATAGATACTGGTTCACAAGCCACTATCTTATCCAATACCTACTTCCAACAGGTAATGGACTTAGCAACGGATAAGCCGAAGCTAAGAGGTTTCCCCAATGCTCTGTTGAGTGTAGGAGGAAATGCCCTTCATGTTATTGGCAATACCTGGTTAAAGTTTAAAATAGGTACCAAAACCTTTAGACACCCGGTGATAGTGGTAGATCTCCCCTATGACCGACTGATTCTGGGTATAGACATACTCAGAAGACTTAACACTATTATTGACTGTGTAAATGGAATTGTATGGTCACAAGCTAAGGTTCCCATAACCTATGAGAAATCACATGTACAATCTGATCGTAACTGCCATGTGATAGAAGAAAGACCTGACTCAATTGAGGTACATTTTAAAAATAGTCAGTCACCTGACGTGACTATCCTGCAGGTGAATGATGCAATCGCACCTGTAGATGAGCATTCCGTAAGAATTGCTCCAGAGAGGATCCAGAATGTCTCTCTGGAAGGTGATGTTTTAACCATTTCTCTCCACAGGGACTATGTTGAATCTGTAGATCTGGCAGGTCATGCTCAATTCCTTGCCAGAATTGAAAGGGTTAATAACAATTTATTCTTTCCTATTCAGATAAATGACTTAGGAAGAAGTAGGAATGCAAAGCTGGACTTACAGAGTGAGAACAGCTATATTAGCAGAAGTCTGTTAAAGCAGATCGCTAATCCTAAAATGATCAGGTATGCTTCCCCACATGACAGGTGGATCCAGAACCTGGATGGCGAATCAGAGAGTCACAATGTGATAGCAAAATGTTTACTATCTATTTCCATAGGAAATAAGACAGTTAAACATTTATTCTTAGTGATAGACGAACCTCGCTATCAGGTTTACGTTGGCAATGATGTCATACATCGCTTTGCCATACACCTTGACCTGATTAATTCCAACTTGTGGACAAGGTTAAAAGGTAATCCTTGTGGATACCTACACGAGGAAAACGCCCTGAAATCAGGACAAATACTCCCATATGCGGTAAGTACCCAAGTTCCTGATGACATAACCATTCCACAGGGGACAAGTAACTTTCTTTTACCCCTACAGGTCAAGGAGGGTCAGAGATTAGAAAACTCTGATGCCCTAATCTGTTTATCCAACAGGATACAACAATTAGGGATGGTGGTAACATATACACCAATGGTAAGTATTGGTAAGAATCCCACCTATATCATGGTCAACAATGTTACACCCAATAGTGTTACTTTATCAAAAGGAACATTATTAGGTCTAGCATTGGATGCTGAGTACTATACATTTGGTTTCCAAAACCAAATTATAGGCCTCATCCCTGAAGAATACTTAACTGAGGACGAAATTGTCGATCAAATATTCCATTCCTCCCCAGAAGGATTATTCACTATCCTATCTGTATATCCCTTCAACGTTGAAGAAGGCTCGTGTAAAATCGAAGAAGCATCTATCACCTTCGATCATCCGCTCAATGAGCAGGAATCACAAGAGTATCACGACCAAAGAGGAAAGGTAAGTCAACACCGAACTGACCTAACTTCTAGGCTTGAAGAAGCTTATGAGATAGGCCAGCCTGAAATCTTTCCAGGATTTCAGGGAAGGCTAGAAGAGCAAATATCTTTAGCTGACGGTTGCTCCAACGATGCTGAGCGGCAACAGCTAAAGGAAATCCTTTTGGAATTCCAAGATATTTTTGCCAAAGATTCCTACGCCTGTGGGTTAACTAACCTCCACGTAGCCAGAATACAAACTGATCCAAATTTACCACCTGTATTTATCAAACAATATAGACTCCCATTAGCGTCATATGATGGTCTACAAGACATCATTCAGAATTTAAAGGAAAGGGGCATTATACGTCCAGTGCACAGTTTGTATAATAATCCGATCTTGGGGATTCTGAAACCTAATGGACAATGGCGTTTATGCGCTGACTTACGACAGCTAAATAAACGCGTCTATATGTCTGGTTGGCCAACACCATACATAGACCAATGTTTGGTACAAATGCAGGGATCCAAAATATTCACTGCCATTGACTGTGCGCAGGGATATTGGACTGTACCAATCCATTATGAAGACCAATACAAATTGGCCTTCACATTTGGAAAGCAGCAGTATACCTGGACCCGTATGCCTTTCGGTTACATAAACTCTGGTCATGAATTCGCTGTGTTCATGCACAAAGCTATGCCTGACGCACTCGAGAGAGGAACGTTATCATATGTCAACGATGTCTTGCTGAAAAGCACTTCCTTTGATAAGCATATCTTAGAGATTAGACATGTTCTCACTCAGTTAAGAGAGGCAGGGATTAAACTGTCTTTACAAAAGGCGCAATGGTGTCGCACCCATGTCAATTTCCTCGGACATGAGGTAACTTCTGAAGGATTAAATCCCCAGAGGAAGAAGGTTGAAGCCCTACTAAAGGCTAAAACACCTTCAAACATCAGGGAATTAAGATCGTTCCTTGGTATGACTAACTACTCCCGTAAGTTTATAGATAACTATGCAGAAATAACTAAACCACTCTTACACCTGCTTAAAAGGGAAACTACCTGGAACTGGGGGGAGCCTCAGGACCAAGCGGTAAGTGAACTGAGGAGGAAGCTCACTCAGGCACCCTGTTTAGCATACCCAGAAGGGGGTAAACCCTTCTATCTGGAGACAGGATATACCGATTTAAGCATCAGTGCTGTTCTGTACCAGAAGCAGGACAGTTTAAACAAAGTTATTGCATATGCTAGCAAGACTTTATCACCTGTTGAAGTTAAATTCAACACGTGTGAGAAGGCGTTATTGTCGACTGTATGGGCACTACAAAATTTTCGTAGCTATATCCAAGGTGAGAAAATAATTGTAGAAACAACTCACCAACCTCTACAGTATCTGCAGAGTGAAAGAATTAGAGACGGTAATCTCTCTAACAGTCGGATTACTGCATGGACTCTATCCTTACAGGGATGGCCGTTAGAAGTCCGTTATAAACATAATAAGAGAAGCCCAGTTGCCCAAGGTTTAGCAGAATTACATGACTGTACTGCTCCATCTCTGAATGATAATGACACCGGAGATGACTTCCTAGAAGAGCAATTGCTATCTCCTTATAAAGTTTATGACGAGGAATACTGTCGACCACTACCGTGGGTATACATTGATGGTTGTTCATATCACCACGTCGCTGGTGCTGAACGGAAGTTAGTTGCAGGTATCGGAATCGCCTGGACAGGTGATTTTCCCGATGTATCTATAGGATACAATATTGGTCCCAAAAGCAGTCAGATAGCCGAACTCTGTGCAGTATATAAGACCATTCAAATAGCAATAGAATATGGTATCAAAGAATTTGTTATCATAACTGATTCCAACTATGTTCGCAACAGTTTCGTCGAATATCTGCCTAGCTGGAAACGTAACCAAATGCTGAAAAGCAATAACAAACCTGTTAAACATGGGAAATTGTTTTGTAAAATCGATGAACTGGTTAAGGAAAATGGTTTATCCATATATTGGAAGAAAACCAAAGGCCATTCTAAAATAGAAGGTATTGACAAGGATGGTAATGACTTAGTCGATTCACTGGCAAAACAAGCTGCCATCAATGGTGAAACCCTAAACATTGATGATCTTATGGGTTCAATTCATGTTGAAGCCATAACTAGACGACAGGCTAGAGATAATGCCGACTTAAATGTCGTGCAATGGAGTCAAGAAGCTCCTAGTGAGGACCTGATTACTAGTCAAAAGAACGATCCCGTCATAGCCATATTCTATAAACATATAGAAGACCCTACTGCCAATCCCATCACAGATGTGGATTGCAAAGATAATGAAGATTTACGAATCTTGATGAGATATAAAGTCCAATTTAGTATCATGGATGGGTTACTGGTCAGGACTTCTAAACATGGTATACAACAATGGGTAGTCCCAACTGTATACAGAGGGTTAATGCTCCAACACGCACATGATGCACCTACATCTGAGCATCGTGGTGATAAGATCACATATGAGATATTGCGTGATTATGCATATTGGCCACACATGTTAAGGGATGTTAAGACATACTGTCAGGGATGCTTGATTTGTCCGCAATATCAACCCCATGGTCCAACCCATCGTGCACCACTTCAGAAGAGAGGGGTGTCATTACCCTGGTCTGATATTCAAATTGACTTTATAGGTCCTGTAACAAGATCTTCAAGAGGTAACAAATACATGTTAACTGTTACATGTATGTACACAAAGTGGATAGAATGTTTGCCTTGTAAAGAGAACACGAGTACCGTGTGCGCCACTTTGTTGATTAACCATGTCTTTTCCAGGTTCGGTCTGCCTCAAAGAATTGAGTCAGACAGAGGTAGTCACTTTACCAGCGAAGTAATGGCTAAGATGTGGAACATTCTAGGTGTTAAGCGAAAGCTACATATTGCATACCGCGCTGCGTCTAGCGGGGGGGTAGAGCGATATAACCAGTCTATCGTTAATATTCTGAAGAAGTATGTTAAGGAGTCTGGTAAAGACTGGGACATTAAATTGCCCCTAGTTTTAATGGCGATTAGAGCTACACCTAGCACTGCTACCAAATTGTCGCCTTTTGAATTGATGACAGGAAGAAAGATGGTTTTACCACAGCATTTACTATATCGTACTTCGGATCATAACTTGATCAATGCTGCCACTACGCATCAGTATATCGAAGATTTGCGCAAGCATTTACAGCATGCGTTTGCTTTTTCCCAAAAGAATCTAGAAAAAGCAGCGACAGGGGTTAAGACCTATTACGATCTAAAAACCACGAAAAAGGAATATGAGATAACAGATCAAGTCTATCTGTATAACTTTGCGCGAAATCAAGTCAAGGAAAATAAATTTTTACCTTCTTGGAAAGGGCCATATGTCATTATTGACAAAATTTCCCCAGTAGCGTATAAGATAAAAATTCCTAAGGATGGTGATTTTATTGAAAAATGGGTTCACATTAACCAGTTGCGTGCTTGTCATCCTAAATCTCAATTAAGGATTA